GGCACCCTGCCTCGGGGGGAAACGGCCGAATTGTTGAAAAAAAAAAAAAAAAAAAAAAAAAAAAAAAAGTCATTATAAAGGGGGAAAGAGATAGGTTTTTCAGGATTCATAAGGCTTTTGAAGAGTTCCCCCATCAAAGCTATTGGGGAAAAATTAAGGATACAGAAAAAAGAGGGGAATTTTTCCTGGGGAAGTGTCAGGGCCCAACAAAAGTGTCGGGGGGCCCGAGACTGTTCAACTGCCTCCCAGCATACATAAGGGGATTACCAACGACCCCGCAGTCTTTAAGCTGGCACTGGACAAACCAAAGTCGGTTCCCGACCACCGGGGGTGGGTCGTACGCTGGTTTGTGTGCAGCCAGCAGCAACAGCCTGGTTGATCACGCTCTGATCCACCAGGAGGCCTGGTCACAGACCGGGCTGCGGGGGCGTTGACCCCCGGAACTCTCTCCAGGTAAACTCCAGAGGCGTGGTTGACAGATAGACAGCAGAGAGTTTGCATCATTGGGGAGAAATCTGAGTTGGGGCATGTCACAAGTGGTGTTCTACAGGGGTCAGTGTTGGGTCCTTTGTTGTTCATAATTTATATAAACACTGATTTTTTTTTTTTAACACATCGGCTGATTCCAACCAAGGAAGGGTGGCCCAAAAAAAAGAAAAAAACTTTCATCATTCACTCCATCACTGTCTTACCAGAGGGGTTCTTTACACTACAGTTATAAAACTGCAACATTAACACCCCTCCCTCAGACAGCAGACACAATACTTCCCACCTCCAGGACTCGAGTCCAGCCTGCCGGTTTCCCCGAATCCCTCCATAAATGTTACTTTGCTCACACTCCAACAGCACGTCAAATATTAAAAACCATTTGTCTCCATTCACTCCTATCAAATATACTCTTATGCATGCTTGCTGGAAGTCCAAGCCCCTCACACACAAAACCTCCTTTACCCCCTCCCTCCAACCCTTCCTAGGCCGACCCCTACCCCGCCTTCCCTCCACTACAGATTTATACACTCTCAAAGTCATTCTGTTTTGTTCCATTCTCTCTACATGTCTAAACTACTTCAACAACCCCTCCTCAGCCCTCTGGATAATAGTTTAGATAATCCCACACCTTCGTCTAATTTCCAAACTATGAATTCTCTGCATTATATTCACACCACACATTGCCCTCAGACATGACATCTCCACTGCCTCCAGGCTTCTCCTCGTTGCAACATTCATCACCCATGCTTCACACCCATACAAGAGTGTTGGTACAACTATACTCTCATACATTCCCCTTTTAGCTTTCCTGGACAAAGTTCTTTGTCTTCAAAGACTCCTAGGTGCACCACTCATTCTTTTCCCCTCATCAATTCTATGATTCACCTCATCCTTCACAGACCCATCTGCTGACACGTCCACTCCTAAATACCTGAATACATTCACCTCCTCCATACTCTCTCCCTGTAATCTGATATCCAATCTTTCGTCACCTAATCTTTTTATCCTCATCACCTTACTCTTTCCTATATTCACTTTTAATTTTCTTCTTTTACATACCCTACCCAATTCATCCACCAACCTCTGCAACTTCTCTTCAGAATCTCCCAAAAGCACAGTGTCATCAGCAAAGAGCAACTGTGACAACTCCCATTTTGTGTTTGATTCTTTATCTTTTAACTCCACACCTCTTGCCAAAACCCTCGTATTCACTTCTCTTACAACCCTGTCTATGAATACAATGAACAACCATGGTTACATCACACATCCTTGTCTAAGGCCTATTCTTACTGGGAAATAATCTCCCTCTCTCCTACATACTCTAACCTGAGCCTCACTATCCTCATAAAAACTCTTCACTACTTATCTCCTATCTCCTATACCATACACCTGCAACATCTGCCACACTGCCCCCCTATCCACCATGTCACATGCCTTTTCCAAATCCATAAATGCCACAAAAACCTGTTTACCCTTATTTAGATACTGTTCACCTATATGTTTCACTGTAAACACTAGGTCTACACACCCCCTACCTTTCCTAAAGCCTCCTTGTTCTTCTGCTATCCTACTCACTGTCTTACTCTTAATTCTTTCAATAATAACTCTACCAAACACTTTACCAGGTATACTCAACAGACTTATTCCCCTATAGTTTTTGAACTCTCTTTTACCCCCTTTCCCTTTATACAAAGGAACTATGCATGCTCTCTGCCAATCCCTAAGTACCTTACCCTCTTCCATACATTTATTAAATAATAGCACCAACCACTCCAAAACTATATCCTTCACCTGCTTTAAACATTTCTATCTTTATCCCGTCAATCCCAGCTGCCTTACCCCCTTTCATTCTGCCCATGCCTCACAAACTTCCCCCACACTCACAACTGGGTCTTCCTCATTCCTACAAGATGTTATTCCTCCTTGCCCTATACACAAAATCACAGCTTCCTCATCTTCATCAACATTTAACAATTCCTCAAAATATTCCCTCCATCTTCCTGATACCTCTAACTCTTCATTTAATAACTCTCCTCTCCTATTTTTAACTGTCAAATCCATTTGTTCCCTAGGCTTCCTCAACTTATTAATCTCACTCCAAAACTTTTTCTTATTTTCAACAAAGTTTGTTGATAACATCTCACCCACTCTCTCATTTGCTCTCTTTTTACATTGTTTCACCACTCTCTTAACCTCTCTTTTTCTCACCATATACTCTTCCCTCCTTGTATCACTTCTACTTTGTAAAAACCTCTCATATGCTAACTTTTTCCCTTACTACTCTCTTTACATCATCATTCCACCAATCGCTCTTCTTCCCTCCCGCACCCACTTTCCTGTAACCACAAACTTCTGTGTTACACACTAACACTAGATTTTAAACCTACCCCATACATCTTCGACCCCATTGCCTATACTCTCACTAGCCCATCTATCCTCCAATAATTGTTTATACCTTACCCTAACTGCTTGCTCTTTTAGTTTATACGCCTTCACCTCTCTCTTACTTGCTGCTTCTATTTTCCTTGTATCCCATCTACCTTTTACTGTCACTGTAGCTACAACTATAAAGTGATCTGATATATCTTTGCCCTTTCTATAAACATATACATCCTGAAGTCTACTCAACAGTCTTTTATCTACCAATACATAGTCCGACAAACTACTGTCATTACACCCTACATCATATCTTGTATACTTACTTACCCTTTTTCTCTTAAAATATGTATTACTTACACTAAACCCCATTTTATACAAAGTTCAATCAAAGGGGTCCCATTATCATTTACACCTGGCACCTCAAACTTACCTACCACACCCTCTCTAAATGTTTCTCCTACTTTAGCATTTAGGTCCCCTACCACAATTACTCTCTCATTTGAGGGAATAAATAGCGACATATGCAAGTTTGCTGATGACACTAAAATAGGTCACCGAATTCATTCTAATGAGGACATTAAAGCATGCACTCCAGGAAGATTTGAATAGACTGATACAGTGGTCAGAGAAGTGGCAGATGCAGTTTAATATAAACCATACCCCTGGCCGGGATTGAACCCGCGGTCATAGAGTCTCAAAACTCCAGCCCGTTGCGTTAGCCACTAGACCAGCTAGCCACAATAAGATTCATCCAACTAGGTATATTTCTACACCATAGGAAAGTTAGCACAGGCACCACTGTGACCACAAATGCAAGTTTTTACAGACGAATCTCCAGCTAGCGCGGCCGTGACGAACTCTAGCTCAAGTCCCTTCACTGGCGTCAACATGACTCAAGAAATCGTAATGACACGATTGCAAACAAACCATACCCCCGGCCGGGATTGAACCTGCTGGAGTTTTGAGACTATGACCGTGGGTTCAATCCCGGCCAGGGGTATGGTTTGTTTGCAATCGTGTCATTACGATTTCTTGAGTTAGTTTAATATAGACACATGCAAAGTTCTAAACACTGGACAAGAAAATAACCATGCCACATATAAACTAAATAATGCATATCTTAATATTACAGACTGCAAAAAGGATTTGGGAGTTCTGGTTAGCAGTAATTTAAAACTAAGACAACAGTGCATAAATGTTCGCAATAAAGTGAACAGAATTCTTGGCTTCATATCAAGAAGCATAAATAATAGGAGTCTTCAGGTCATTCTTCAATTCTAAATGAGGCCTAACCAAAGATATATGGATTATGCTGCACAGTTCTGGTCACCATATTACAGAATGGACATTAATGCACTGGAAAACATACAAAGGAGGATGAGGAAGTTGATCCCATGTATTAGAAATCTTCCCTGAGGATAGACTGAGGGCCCTAAATCTGCACTCTCTAGAAAGGCATAGAATTAGGGAGGATATGATTGAGGTGTATAAATGGAAATCAGGAATAAAGGGAATGTAAATAGCATGCTAAAAATATCTAGCCAAGACAGGACTCAAAGTAATGGTTTTAAGATGGAAAAATTCAGATTCAGGAAGGATATAGGAAAGCACTAGTTTGGTAATAGAGTTGTGGATGAGTGGAGCAAACTCCCGAGTACCGTCATAGAAGCTAAGACGTTACTTAGTTTTAAAAATAGGTTGGATAAATACTCAAGTGGGTGTGGATGGGTGTGAATCAGACCTGACTAGCTTGTGCTAATAGGTATGATGCCATGCTCCTTAAGTGTATGTGATATGACCTGACTAGGTGGGTCAATAGTTTAAGCTGGGAGATGACTTGGACCTGCCTCACATGGGCCAGCAGGCTTGCAGCAGTGTTCCTTCTTTCTTATATTTCTTATGAGTTGTTTCTTATTGCTTAATGACATGCCTTTAAAAACAATGATTATGAAACAGTGATAGTTGTCACAGTTGATGTTTGCAGGGGATAGGGGGGTAAGTTTGAAAAGATACAAAACAGAAGAAAATCTGAAAGAGAATGCAGAAATGAACAAACCTATAAAATAAAAAAAAGAAAAACAATGAATTACAAATCAAGTAATTTATGCCATGAATGGTTTGGCAACACTTACCATCATCTGGTTCCTGCTTGATTTTGATACCTTCCTCTCCTTCTTCACCAGGACCGCGCTCGCGTCTATCTCGGTCACTGTATAGAAAACAATTTCATTATGAAGTGAATTTTAAAACAAATAAAATGGGCATTAATTTCTCCTAGCAACTTTTTTTTATACATAACAAAATTTCATTTACCGTTCTCTGCGGTGCTTTCTCTCACGCGACTTTGACCGCCTCTTACGATCACGGGAACGTGATCTATGACGTCTCTTCTCTCTCTCATCACCTTCTTCGGGTACTGTTACAGCACGTTCACGAGAGCGGGAACGGCGACGTTTGCGATCTCGGCTGTAGCAAGTCAGAAGGTTAGACAAATTACATCTAGAAAGTATTCACAGGCATTGACACTTAGCAGATCAAATGTAAAAGACATACACAAATAACCCGCACATAAAAGAGAGAAGCTTACGACGGCGTTTCGAGTGTGACTTTGTCAATGGTCCAAGTCGGACCGAAACGTCGTCGTAAGCTTCTCTCTTTTATGTGCGGGTTATTTGTGTATTGTTCCAATCACGGTATTGTGCCTTTTTGTTATTTATGTAAAAGACATACGGTAACATATCCTGCATCTTAAAGGGGAAGAAATTAACTTGCAGATAAATCTCCATTTTCAAAAAGGCAAGTAAAAAAAAAAAAATTCAAATACGAGTATGTGGATGTTGGGATACAAGTTTAACAGGGTAGGTGATTTAGGCAAATTCTGAAAAGTAATTTGAATAATTGCCAATCTGTATTTTTACATTGGCCATTTCTCATAAAGGTAGGTCATGTATTTAAAGAAAAACCAGTGCATTTGTTGGCAACACAGTGATGAGAATACAATGTTCACCTGAGAATCTAACAGTTTCTAGCTCAAACAGGGTGACAATTAAAGAAAAATCAATGACTATTCATGCCTTATTTATCCTTCCAGAGTAGCAGACACCTCAAAAGTCCTGTTATCTGCCAAAATGCTGCATCCCCACCCACCCTTCACTTTATTCACTGTACTTCTTACCTTCAGAAGTCTAGCTTCCCTGAACTTTTTTATAGATAATACCTTGCTCACACTCCAAGAGCATGTTAAATACACAGAACACTAACCTCCTCTCCCTGATCAAACACATGCCAGCTGGCCCGTACTTCTCAAAACATCTTCCACACCATTCCATTTTTTCAGTCATTCCTGAGATGTTCCCTACATCATCTTTCATCCATCCCAGGCTTGTACACTCAATCTACCAATCTTACTCCATTTTTTAAGAATAAAAAAATCTTAACATCCCCTCTTTTGTTCCATGAATTTTACTTTTCATATAATCGCACCATCAAATTTCCTTACCATTTATTCTCTATGATTTTCACATTGCATACAAACATAGGAAGTGCTTTATTTGGAAGAGAATGTTGGCACCTATTAGTGTTAAGTGTGTGTGGTGGAGGAGACTGACTGCAGCAGCATATCTGCACTGGGATAATGGGTCTATAAATAAAAAATTAACTTAAATAAATGTGAACAAAAACTTATGATTTATGGATTAAGTGGCACTCAGGCATTATATTGTTGACACCTAGGCACTGCAAGAGTGGTAAGAGGTAACCAGGACAGTCTCTTGATTCACTCCCCGCAGTCATTACCACCCACCAGACTAGATGCCAAATATCTTTATGCCAAATTAACTAAAATTACAAGAATTACCATAACTAACTGATACAAGCAAACAAACTACAAAACATATCCATGTAATGAACAAGCTCCAGAAAACATTTGTCCCCCTTTTCAAGTTGCCAAAAACATAAGAATTTTTAAAAATCATGCATATATGTTACTAAAGCTTATTAACCCTTTGAGGGTCTGTTCCATAGTTCTATGTCTTGTCCACAGGTCCAAGAACTTTCAAACAAATTTTTGTTATTTTTTCTTATGAAATGGTAGAATCTTTTACTGAAGGTAATAAAACAAAAAGTACGAAATGTGATGAAAAATTTATGAAATTACACTATCATGAATTTTGCTGTGTCAGCAATATTTATGTATCGGAGATTTTGCCCACCTTGACTCCTATTTTAGGAAAATTACATTATTCCAGTTGACCAAATTTTTAGCTATTTTGCTAGTATCACTTATATTTTATCGACTGAATACAAGAAACTACTGAATCATCTATTGCAACTACCTAATAAAGTGATCAGAAATTGGTATTTTGGCCAATTTCACAAAGTTCAAAATATTCCAATTTCAAAATAGGGACTAGAATAAACAATGAAAGTATTCCTGGCACTAAATAACATTTCCTCTGTTTATTAGTTACGTTTCCAGGCTTACACGTGAATTCCATTTTTTTTTTCACAAAGAATTTTTATTCACACCAAAAGATAGATTTATTTATATATATTTATATTAACACACTGGCCGATTCCCACCAAGGCAGGGTGGCCCAAAAAAGAAAAACTTTCACCATCATTCACTCCATCACTGTCTTGCCAGAAGGGTGCTTTACACTACAGTAACATCCCCACCTGTTCCTCAGAGTGTAAGCACTGCCTTTCCCACCTCCAGTCTCAAGTCCAGCTAACTGGTTTCCCTGAATCCCTTCGTAAGTCACCCTGCTCACATTCCAACAGCAAGTCCAACAAAAACTATTCATCTCCACACACTCCTATCTAGGTAATAATGATCGACAACAAACGAAACTAGATTTGACAAAGCAATTTAATGACAATTAGCTGAACATTAAAATAGGTGAGACTAAAAGGTTATCCATGAAAACTCAAATGGATAATTAATGTTATAGGAGTAGCCACTCTATAATCTTATAACCAGCAGTAATACATAAATATTTTGGGGTATCTTACTTTAACTCTTTCAAAGTCGGTCCCATTGTATCACTGTCTTGAAGCCAGTGTCAGTCCCACAACACAATATCATGAGCTCAGCTCATTCAGATAAGCTGCGAGTAGTAAATCTGGGCCTATATATGAGAGAAAGAGTCTATGCAGTAAGTGTGCACCATATAAAAAACTCCTGCACCACAAAGTGCATAACAAGAAGAAACTGCAATCGTGTTTTCGGTTAAAAACAGTGACTTTGCAGTGTATTTTTGTATGGTTTTCATGGTTGTATCCTCGGTTTCTTGGTCTCATTTGATAGAATGGAAGATATATTATGGAAACAGAAATGATTTGATTGATTTCAAGACTGAAAGTAGCTTGAAATTGAGCTCAAAGTAGCAGAAATGTTCGATTTTTTCTGATATTCCAGAGTGCACAATATGTGTCCAACTGGCCGGTCTAGTATGACTTCAGGAATGCACTGACATTTATACAATTATTATTTTGTGTGAATAAAAATTCAAAATGGAACAAAGATAATATAAGAAAAGCCTGAAGACATGACTAATGAACAGATTTTTTTTTTATTTCAGTGCCGGGAATGCCTTCAGTGTTTAGTCTGGACCCTATTTTGAAATTGGCATTTCTTGAATTTTGTGTGAAATTGGCCAACTTACCAATTCTGATCAGCTGAATGAGCAGTTTCTTGTACTTAATCAATAGAATGGAAGCCATACTAGCAAAATAGCTAAGAATTTAGTCAACTGGAACAATGGAATTGCCTAAAATTGAACTCAAAGTGGACGAGATCACCGATACGTAAATATTGCCGATGCAGCAAATTTCGCAAAAGTGAAATTTCATGTTTTCCATCAATTTTTGTACTCCATTTTATTACCTTCAGAAAACTCTACGATTTCACGATTTTTTTTTTTAATTTTGTGACCCTGAGAGCAGGTTTGCGAGCACAGGCTGCGACCCTGGATGAGTTAACCCTTTCAGGGTCGCCAGGCCCTCTCCAAGACTTGTTCTCAGGATTGCCAAATTTTCAAAAAAAAAAAAAAAAAAAAAATTCTTATGAAAAGATAGAGAATCTTTTCCCGGTCATGACACCAAAAGTATGAAATTTGATGGAAAACTTACGAAATTATGCTCTCGCGAAGTTAGCGGTCTCAACAATGTTTATGTATCTGCAATTTTGCCCACTTTGAGCCCTATTTTCAGCCAATTCCAGTGTACCAGTCGACAAAAATCATAACTATTTCGCTAGAACTCCATTTTTTCTATAGAATGAGTACAAGAAACCACCCATTTAATGATTTCAACTATCCAATAAAGTGGTCAGAATTTAGCAATTTTGTCAATTTCACACAAATTTCAAAAGATGCCAATTTCGTAATAGGGTCCATAATAAACAAGAGACATTCCTGGCACTAAAATAACATTTCCTCTGTTCATTAGTCACGTCCCCAGGCCCCTCTTACATTCTTTTGCTTTCCACTTTGAATTTTTATTCTCACAAAAAATAGAAGATTTACTGTTATGCAGACTACTACATTAGTGTAGAAATGGTATAAATAATATCAGCGCACTTGTGAAAGAATACACGTATTAGACTCACCAGTTGACGTGTATTGGACGCGTAGCATGATTTGTTTACTTTTGAACTTTGGTAAAAATTGAACATTTCTGCTACTTTGAGCTCAATTTCAAGGTACTTTTCATTGTAAAACCAGTCAAAATCATCTCAATTTCTGTAATATGTCTTCCATTCTATAAAATGAGACCAGGAAAACTAGAATACAACAATAAATACCATACGAAAATACAGTGCAAACTCGCTGTTTTAATCCAAAAACACGGTCAGTTTTTTTTTTCTCATTATGCACTGTTTGCTGCAGGATTTTTTTTATACTGTGCACACTGACCAAATAGACCCATTCTTTCATATGTAGGCCTACCAGCTTTCTCTCACTAGATCTGGGGGCGCTAGAATTTAGGCGTACTAGTACATCAAAAACCCTGGTGCGTAAGCCATACTAGTACGTCCGAAACCCTGAAAGGGTTAAGAACCTAACATCTCCTTCCTACACAACCTTTACCAGAACAGTCAGGTTACAGATATATAACATAGAAGCGAAGATAAAAAAAAAACTGCATCTTAGCTTTTCCTCTCTCTCAATTTTGCAACAGAAAATATATCCACACTAGCAAACTCCTATTAGCTTCCATGATAAACAGCCAATGAAATGATACACTACAACAATAATTATGCAATGAACAGTCCCAGACTGCAGAACAGACTGCAGAACATCAAGCTTATTTTACAACTTTCCCAGCAGACATTAACACTATAACAATGACCCTCATAATTAAGTTCACAGCTATTAATTTTTTTTACCACACCAGCCATCTTCAACAGATGTAAGGTGACCCAAAAAATAAAACACGTTCATTATTATACATTCAACTGATGTCTTGCCAGAAGTGTGCTGACATCACATTACTCTCCAATCTGCGACATCCCCACCACTAATCCACACGTTTAAACATACGTAATAAACAATGGTCAATGGCAAAAATCCCACATGGAGAAGAGTAACAAAATGAACACTGGAAGGTTTATTCTGGCAGCAACTATCTTCAAGGGTTTTGACATGTTTGCTGTCTTTCATGAACATGTCCAATGACAACAATTACGAACTTCTACAGTACCAGTATTTTAATTTTCAGTGTTTTTTATAGACCTTATTCCTATGATGTTAGTTTCTGCATAAGAAGGCCCAGTATATGACAAAACTGTTGGAGCTATTATTCCCTGACCAAATAACATATGTAACCATTATGACCATATTCAACAGACCACTAAAAAGTGTGCAGTGGGCTGAAATATACAGAAAAATACTCCTCTTGTTTTGTTTTCTCCAGGTGAATTTATTTGTACACAAGCCAATGTGTCCCAATCTTTTACTCATAGAAAACTATTTACAAATTACCTGCGTGATCTTCTGCGTCTCTCTCTCGGTTCTCGTTCTCTTTCTCTGCTACGAGTGTGTCTTCTTTCACGCTCGCCACGATCACGATCAACTCGTTCCCGATCGTTACTCCTGAAAAAAAAAAAATTACTCAAAACACTGCCTACTCAAGTGCTATTTTGAACTATCACATTTAAGTTCACTTAGCAACTTTTAACCCTTAAACTGTCCAAATGTAGATCTATGTTTGTACCACTAGTGCTCCAAATGTAAATCTACATTTTATTTTTCCTGCATTCAAATTTGGCACTATTGGCCTGAGATGCCTGGTCAGCATAGAATGGGTTTTAACACTCGGTGTGCGCAGTATTAAAAAGATCTGAGAACACCAGTTCAAGTGAGTGCCAGCTAGAGCAAATAGCTTAGCAAACACCAGAGATTCACTGATGCCATGTTGTATTAACACTCCCCTTTTAAGAGGAAAGTGATGCTGACCCAGAGTTTAGTGACTGAGATGGATGTGGCCACAAGTTGTCAAGGAAATATAAAAACCTCGATAATAACCCATGTGCAACATCCTTTCCTTTCTCATACCAGTGGTAGTGCCATCCTGTCAGAATGTCCTATAACCTATGAACTAAGTAAAGAGGAATGATTCTGGAACACGTGTAACATGGCTGGAGCTCGCACACTAACTCACTCACACTCTCACTCTTTTTTTTTTTTTACATAGGGTTTGACAAGGTTAAGGACCCATGGAGAGATGTTGTCTGGTCCCACCGCCTTCGAGGTGTGTGTGTGTGTGTGTGTGTGTGTGTGTGTGTGTGTGTGTGTGTGTGTGTGTGTGTGTGTGTGTGTGTGTGTGTGTGTGTGTGTGTGAGAGAGTGTGAGAAAGAGAGTGTGAGAAAGAGAGTGTGAGAAAGAGTGTGAGAAAGAGAGTGTGAGAAAGAGAGTGTGAGAGAGTGTGAGTGTGTGAGAGAGAGTGTGAGAGTGTGTGAGAGAGTGTGAGAGAGTGTGTGAGAGTGTGTGAGAGTGTGTGAGTGTGTGAGAGAGTGTGTGTGTGAGAGAATGTGTGTGTGAGAGAGTGTGTGTGTGAGAGAGTGTGTGTGAGAGAGTGTGTGTGAGAGATGTGTGTGTGAGAAGATGTGTGAGTGTGAGAGAGAGTGTGTGAGTGTGTGAGAGTGTGTGAGAGTGTGTGTGAGAGAGTGTGAGAGAGTGTGAGAGTGTGAGAGAGTGTGTGAGAGTGTGTGAGTGTGTGAGAGTGTGTGAGAGTGTGTGAGTGTGTGAGAGTGTGTGAGAGAGAGTGTGAGAGTGTGTGAGAGTGTGTGTGTGTGTGAGTGTGTGAGAGTGTGTGAGAGAGTGTGTGAGAGAGTGTGAGAGTGTGTGAGTGTGTGTGTGAGAGAGTGTGTGAGTGTGTGAGAGAAAGTGTGTGAGAGAAAGTGTGTGAGAGTGTGTGTGAGAGAGTGTGTGAGAGTGTGTGTGAGAGAGAGTGTGTGTGAGAGAGAGTGTGTGTGAGAGAGTGTGTGAAGAGTGTGTGAGAGAGTGTGTGAGTGTGTGAGAGTGTGTGTGAGAGTGTGTGTGAGAGTGTGAGAGAGAGAGTGTGTGAGAGAGAGAGGCAAATGTAGTCCCTGTTCACAAAAAGAAGAGCAGAGCAGAAATCAGCAACTACAGACCAGTGTCACTCCTGTCAATCACTGGTAAGATCCTTGAGACAATAATCTCAAGACAAATGACAGAGTTTTTTGACTATCACTCGCTACTTTGTGATCGTCAGTATGGCTTCAGGAAAGGCTACTCTGCTGCTGATCTGTTGTTAAACCTCTCCACTAAGTGGCACCAGTCACTGGATGAATCCAAAGTCAGCTGTGTGGTAGCACTGGACATTGCTGGAGCTATCGACCGGGTGTGGCACCAGGGCCTCTTAGCAAAACTTCAAGCACTGGGAATTGCAGGCTCTACGCTATGTCTCCTCAGTGATTACCTTCATGGTAGATCTCTAAGTGTAGTTCTCAATGGAACGGAATCAGCAAGACATCCTATTGGGGCAAGTGTTCCACAAGGAAGCGTGCTGGGACCATTGTTATGGAATGTCTACTTCAACGACCTTCTTCATCTCATCCCAGAATCACACTGACATTCACTTATCCAAGAAAAGAAATGCCAGCTGCTCTAAGATACATCAATCACCAGCTGAGAGCTATATCAGCTTGGGGAAATAGATGGCAAGTAACATTTGCACCTGAGAAAACGCAAATGATGATCGTCTCTAGGCACCATGATGGTAATGCTGGTGCAGAAGTAAGGATGAATGGGAGGGTGTTGGCACCTGGAGAAGAAGTTGATATCCTTGGGGTGAAATTTGACTCCAAACTAACCATGAAGAACCATGTTGTAAATCTTGTAAACAAGGCAGCCAGGAAGCTTACAGCACTTTGCCGTATCTCGCATCTACTTGACAGTAGGGGTTGCAAGATTCTGTACGAGGCACAAGTATGCTCACACCTTGAGTATGCTCCGCTTTCTTGGTTTGCCTGCCCCCCCCTCTCATCTGCGACTGCTTGACAGAGTAGAGAACAGAGCAAGACGTCTCATCTCTCGCCTGGACCCATCCTGGATAGATCTGTCATTTCAGCAGAGCCTTCAACATAGGAGGGATGTGGGTGGCCTTACTGTTATGTACAAGGCCAATATTGTCAAAGTACCACACTTGGATCCACTTCAAGACAGCGTGAAACCAGCTTTTATGCCACAAGACAGGCAGAAAGCAGCAACTTCACTCTGGCTGTACCCTTCTCCAGAACGTCACTCCATCTGAGATCATAAATACCCAGGATGATTCGAGTATGGAACACATTCGTACAGCATAATGATGTCAACGAGATAAAGTCAGTTGATCAAATGAAAATGCTGGCACACAGATGGCTCCAATTTCATCCTGTTCCCTACTTGTATGTCTCATAACAATAAAAATGCTTTCAAATGAGCTGATGTAGGTAACAGCTCTTAGCTTGCCAATAAAGTTAGGAATCTTTAACCTGTAAATAGCTTGTCAATAAAGATAGGGATCCTTAAAGAGGGAGCAGAGATATTGAGTGAGCCGTTAACAAAGATCTTCAACGCATCATTTGAAACTGGGCAACTCCCTGAGGTACGGAAAATGGCAAATGTAGTCCCAATTTTTAAAAAGGGAGACAGACATGAGGCACTAAACTACAGACCTGTATCACTAACGTGTATAGTATGCAAGGTCATGGAGAAGATCATCAGGAGGAGAGTGGTGGAGCACCTGGAAAGAAACAAGTGTATAATTGACAACCAGCACGGTTTCAGGGAAGGAAAATCCTGTGTCACAAACCTACTAGAGTTTTATGACAAGGTGACAGAAGTACGACAAGAGAGAGAGGGGTGGATCGATTGCATATTTTTGGACTGCAAAAAGGCCTTCGACACAGTTCCTCACAAGAGGTTACTGCAAAAGCTAGAGGATCAGGCACACATAACAGGAAAGGCACTGCAATGGATCAGAGAATACCTGACAGGGAGGCAACAACGAGTCATGGTACGCGACGAGGTGTCAGAGTGGGCGCCTGTGACAAGCGGGGTTCCACAGGGTCAGTCCTAGAACCTGTGCTGTTCTTGGTATATGTGAACGACATAACAGAAGGGATAGACTCAGAAGTGTCCTTGTTTGCAGATGATGCGAAGTTAATGAGAAGAATCAAATCGGATGAGGATCAGGCAGGACTACAAAGAGACCTGGACAGGCTACAAGCCTGGTCCAGCAACTGGCTCCTTGAATTTAACCCTGCGAAATGCAAAGTCATGAAGATTGGGGAAGGGCAAAGAAGACCGCAGACACAATATAGTTTAGATGGCCAAAGACTGCAAACCTCACTCAAGGAAAAAGATCTGGGGGTGAGTATAACACCGAGCATATCTCCTGAGGCGCACATCAATCAGATAACTGCTGCAGCATACGGGCGCCTGGCAAACCTACGGATAGCGTTCTGATACATCAGTAAGGATTCGTTTAAGACTCTGTATACCATTTACATCAAGCCCATACTGGAGTATGTAACACCAGTTTGGAATCCACACCTAGTCAAGCACGTCAAGAAATTAGAGAAAGTGCAAAGGTTTGCAACAAGACTAGTCCCAGAGCTACGGGGATTGTCCTACGAAGAAAGGTTGAGGGAAATTGGCCTGACGACACTGGAGGACAGGAGGGTCAGGGGAGACATGATAACGACATATAAAATACTGCGCGGAATAGACAAGGTGGACAAAGACGGGATGTTCCAGAGAAGGGACACAGACACAAGAGGTCCAATTGGAAGTTGAAACTAGTAAATAAATGGGATGTTGGGAAAGTATTTCTTCAGTCATAGAGTGTCGGCCGTGGAATAGCCTAGAAGTGACGTGGGGGGAGGCGGGAAACCCATTTTTTAAGGCGGGGTTGTAGGTCATGGGGCAGGGAGAGAGAGGACCCTGTACAATCAGAAAGAGGGGGGGCCAGGGCTGTGACTCGCCCCCTGAACCCAAAAATAGGTGGAAAACACACAACACACACACACCAACACACACAAAAAACCCCAACACACAAAACTAGGGGGTAAAAACGTGAGCAGTATCGCTGAATGTGCCCAGGATTAGTTTAGTGGTTGTCCTAAGATTTATTAGGGGCATGTTTGTGAGTGAATCAGTGAACTACCTACAAGAGTGTTAATAGCTTTAAAGAGGCGAAAAAATGTGAAAGATCAAGAATGTTACAATTTAAATTTGAAGAATGGGAGTGAGGGGGGAGCGTCAGCTGATCAGGCTGGGCTGCAGGGTTGCACAAAATACCCAAACGTTAATTGGGGTTAACGGTGTGACCAAAAATTTAAACAAAAAATATGTTGGTTGGTTTATGCAGCATGAGTGATAAGTCATAATGATAAAAAAGTAAATACTAAAGAAAGAAAAATTTTAGTAAATCCCAGCGTAGATTTGTTAGCCCCAATACTGTTTAAGAAGGTGAATCCCAAAGTTTTAAAAGAAAAAAAAAAATAAAACTTGAATGCTGTTTAAAAGTTCCTGAAGGAGTTTAAAAGTGAGGTTTTTATAGCACCCAACCAGCGGAACCTTTTGTT